ATTAATAATGAAAGATTTTTCGAGCACATCAAGCACTGGTACTTGAATGAAGTGTCGGTAATGGCCAGTCAAATAGCCTCGTATTGAATAAACAAATATTTACCCAGTTTTCATTTCCCCTTACCTAAAGATACGTCAAGGTTGCTGTTGACAATTCTGTAACTTCGCAATCAAACCGAGCTGTTTTTCGACTAGATGAGGGCTGAGAACTTTTCCAGTTGCTTTGGCCGGTGCTAAATTGTCCGGTTATCATCAATCTGCTGGCGATCCTGGCATTTAACTACCACTCTTGAAGGTTATAACAGTTCAATGGTTATTTTATCAACAGATAAATCTCCTACATATATTTCTAGAATTTTAATTTGAAAACAAACATTGTTGCAGTAGGAAATATTTGTCAGAAGCCAATAATGTGTCTCGTTGGTGACGTTCGGAGCAAGTAATGCACGAGCGACAAATTTCGCATGCCAATCCACGAGGTGTTCACGTAGGTCCAAATTTGTTGCGAAGCCACTGGGTAATGGCGATTTCGGCTGCTGACCAACAGATGCTCGCCCTGTTTCAGCATCTGGGTCAGCATTCAGGTCGCAAAGCAGGCATGGCAGCAGCAACATTTGAAAGCGACCGCTCTGGAATACGTGGAAACGTCAGCAATGGTCCAAGAAAGATTAGCAAGAGATCTCTCGCAGTGAGAAAACGGTGAGGAAGTAATGTGCAGTAAATTTACATATCGCTCTGCTCATAACTCTGTGAATTACGCCAGGGAGGAACACCGTGTTAATTCCCCCGTTCGTGTTGCTTAGCCATTGAATTCACATACTGTTTAAATTTGCGTATGCCAGGAAGTCAATTCTGCCATCAGCTTGCTTCATAGCTCTCGAAAGAAAAAGCTATCAGCCGGTACTGGCATTTGCTACCACTCGGGTTACTTCTCCGTATTTCTCGAACGGCGATTGCAGAATGGGGCATATACCAGTGTCAATTTACCATCGAAACGAATGAACGAATCGTAGAGGAATTGGCAGAACAGAATCCTTTCAGCATGGAAATTATGGCATTTGTCACCACTACAGCATGCCTGTCAACAAGGACGCGAAGACAAGAGCAAATGCTTTCCGAGAAACGATGGAAGTATATAATCGCTAACCCTATTTGTTAAATAAGGATCACCCGGAATGTCGATGCCGTCACCTGGGGATATAAAACTAGCCGGGCCGGAAGCCATGCATGTTTTTTTTTACCAGTTAACTTTTAACGTATAGTACTAGGCAGTGGTACCCATGCGACAGAAATTAGCAATGGGACAAGCTCAGATAAAAATGGCACGCATTTGTTGGCGTAAACGACAGATCGAGAAAGATAACAGAGAAACCTCAGACATAGTTACAATCAAATGTAATCCGTATCTTAGTAACATCGAGGGTTTCACAACGATGGTCCGAAAGAGATAATGGACTTCTGGTTGCCGAAAACACGGCGTTTCCTGGACAATCATATTCGTCGGTTAAATAGCATCGCACGCTAGCAGACAATGATCCTTGTGAAAAAGAAAGTGGCTACTCAAGTGATGAATGCTAAGTGTTCGTAGTGGACATGGCGACTGGAGATAGAAAGATAATCCAGGACAAGAAGATTACTTCTTAGTGTTACCTAAATCTCAGTAACATCGAGGGCTCCAGCACAGGCGGATCCGGCACGGACTCCTCGGGGAAGGGGGAGGTGGGGCACTGGGTGAGAGGCGGGAGAACGAGTCTTCGCAGCCCTATCCCATTCTGGAACAATGCAAAAACCAGGAATAGAGTTGTAGTACTGCTACTTTAGTTTTTCTTATGGACAGACCCGGGCTTTTGCAACACTGGTGTCTGTGCCACTGGGGGAGGAGGTCCGAAAGAGATAATGG